CAGGAGGTTGAAGGGAAGGATTGCTTGAGCCTAGGAGTTCTAGGCTTCAATGAGCCAGGATCATGCCACTAAACTTCAGCCTGAGTGAGAGAATGAGACCTTGTCTCAAAAAAAAAACAAAAAAAACAAAAAAAACCATAGTATTCTAAATGTGCACAAATATTATTTGTCACATAAAAATAAATTAAATATATATGAAAAAGCATATATCTATGAAAAGAGACACCATCTACTTTGTGCAAAATTGTAGACTCAGTATCTGTATCCTTGTATATAATCATTTAATGTATTTAATGAGAAAATGAAGTCTCTCAAATTTTTTGTCTTTGTGTTATTATATGAAAAACAAGATTAATACTCCTACTTTCTTTTGTGAAGAGTTGATATATATATAAAATCTTGGTAAACTTTAAGGTACTATACAAAGGTAAACAATTTGCATTTTTTTATAACTGAGTAATCTGCAAGAAATTTACTAAAAGCTTTAAATTTAGATGTTGATTAACTTTTTTCTTTTCTAAATTGTATTAACCATTTTGGGAACTTTTTGTCTTGTTTTAGGGATTATAGTCATGATATATGTGATGATCAGTAGTAATAATCAGGTACATTTACGTAGATAGAGATATATATAAGCAGAGAGATAGATATGTAGATAGATAGATAGATAGCTAGCTAGCTAGCTAGCTAGCTAGATAGATAGATAGATCTGGAGAAGAACAATGCCCTGTTCATTGGTTCTACTTTCCAATTTCCTTAATCTCTAACAAGATCAAGTAAAATTCATGATTCTAGCTATCTTTGAAAACAAGGGAATTTTTGTAGTTTAACAGTAGTCAGTAAGTCAAAAGGAAGAACTTTCTTGTTAGATGGAAAATAATACACCTGACTTCAGACATAGAAACTGTGATGTGCTGGTGGAACTTCCACTTGAAAATCCCTAGTGGGCTGTTGATTATTAGCAACTCGTGGGCAGAAAGAAGTTAGCAAGTATTATTTATTTGGGTTTCATCTGAATGTAGATAATAGGGTTAAATGTGAAAACTGGTTATTCCCCTATGCAAGTTCAATATTAAAATAGCAACTTCAAATGACATGGTAGTGTGAAGTGCTTCACATATGTTAGACATCATGCTTTGTGTTTTTCATGCATTATTTCATTTAATTCTCATAATACCCTCATGAGTAGGAGCTGGTTTTATCACCATTTTTAGTTGAGGTGACCAAAGTTTGCTGAAACAAATCAATTCGCAAAAGCCAACAGAGCTAGTAAGAGTGGGAGCTGGAATTCAAACCCAGGTTTGTCTAACTTGAAAGTAAAAGGTTTTAATTACTATATTAGATCATATACTGTGCGATTTATACAATAAAAGTTAAATGCAATTTCTTAATCAGAGGGCTGTCCCTTTATAACACTTTGCATGAGGGGCCCAGAAAGTCTTTGAAGAGTTTTAGTTACACAGCTCTCTGAAAGTAGCATCCATATGAAACCCAAAGGGCGATTTCATATTCTCTGCTTATACATTGGCTATTCATAACATATTCTTTACAAAAGCACTACCCTTCTTTTTCAAAGTGCCAGGGAAATTGCGTGTGACATAGGCTTTTGAGTAGAGTTCACTTTTATCTATGTAAGTATTGAGATACGTGTTATATGAGTATTTGTTTCTCATTGAAATAAATATAATGTGCATATTATAACTAAACTGAAATAGTTCCTGGCATGAAAGCACAGAATGATGAATGAAACCTAGTGTGACTTGCCTATAATTGTGCTCCTCTGTGTCTGCCTTACGTCCTTTCTTTTATTTCATTCCACACGAGTCTAACGGAGAACAAGCAGCCATGCTAAATCATACTAAATTATTCAATACACCACTTGGCGGATGTTTGCGAGGTATGTATACTAAAGATGATGGTAACCTTTGTATGGAAGAGAAAGGCCAGAGAACTTTCACATATTCAGGAAATGTGCTTAGACATGCATTTATTTTCTTTGCTTTGTTTCTTTTAAAGATTCAGAAGCTTTTGTGAGTGTATTACAGCGGAGTTGGCAGACAACCCTTATTTGTTTTCTTCATTAGATACTTAGGGGACAGATACCACACTAAAGGGTATAGCAATAGAGGAGGTAATATACGTAGGCAGTGGCAGTGGAGGCTCAATACACACACACACACACACACACACACACACACACACACACCCTAGGAATAATTTAGGCAGTAAAAATTAAACACATATTCCTAATCAGGAGAGCTGTCCCCTTACAATACATCACATGAAAAGCCCACAAAGTCACTGAAATAACTCCAGTGTTTTGGTTACACAGCTAGAAGGAAGAGGGGTTCGAAGAGCAGTTCTAAGACTCCAGACAGGCCAGTAGCAATAGTCAAGCAGCCAGTAGGTAGCTGCCCTTGCACTTGACTATGATTTATGGTCAAATCTCCAATTCTTGGCAACTGGGACTGGCAAGAATGAAGATAGAGACTGAGAAAAACTAAAAAATAAGTACAGTTTTCAGAACCAGAACAAAAGTGCAGGAATAAGCTATGCAGGTGCAAAATTCCCATTATTTGGCTGGAGTAGTTTAAGTTTCTCCTGTCCTCTGTTAGAACTAATGCAAGAGATTAAGAATGAGACCACTTACTTCTGTATGCGGAGTCAAATAGGTCCAGGCACAAAGCACAGTCTTTTACTCTTGAGTTTGCATTTTGCTGCACCAACAGTAACTACACCATATGCAATGATATTGAATTGGAATAGCAATGCAATTGATTAATGCCAGACAACCAAGTGATTCTGTGAGAGTTGGTGAATTTATAAATATGTACAAGTGAACAAATGTTTATCGACTCATAATTATCTTTATTAGTTAGGATACCATTAAGAAACAGATGGCATATTCAATTAGAGTAATTGAAAAAAATATTAAGAAAGGTTATTTTCAAGGATGTAGGCATGTTGAAGGGAAATCAGCCACAGATGATGAAGCACCCTGGGGTTAGTAACTGCTGGAAGCTATTACTGTCTTTAGGCCTAAAAGAATAGAAACAGAATAGAAACCACCTACACAGTCCGTATTAACATGCATTTGCTATTTCATACAACTCTTCCCTAGGAAGATGAAGTTTTAAATAACTTTATTGCTTGATTTAGAAAATTTCTACAAGTCCATTTATTTCAAAATCATACAGTTTAACTTATCCTTATTTGAGTAAATAGCCTCTTATCAGGATAACAGATGATTCAACCAAGCTTAACAAGCAAATGTTTATTCTTTAACTTACCTGTAAAACCTGTCTTACTGTATGTACCAACCCTAAACTATTATATCACAAGTGTTGCCCAATGTTTTTTTTTTTTTTTTTTTTTGAGATGGGGTTTTGCTCTTGTCTCCCAGACTGGAATGCAATGGCATGATCTTGGCTCACTGCAACCTCCATCTCCCGGGTTCAAGTGATTTTCCTGAATCAACCTCCCGAGTAGCAGGGATTATAGGTGTGTGCCACCATGCCCAGCTAATTTTGTATTTTTAGTAGAGATGAGGTTTCACCATGTTGGCCAGGCTAGTCTCGAACTCCTGACCTTAGGTGATCTGCCTGCCTTGGCTTCCCAAAGTGCTGGGATTACTGGCATGAGCCACCGTGCCCGGCCAAGTTTTGCCTAGTTCTAAGCATACTCCTACATTGAAAACTTTACCTTAAATCAGAACCTCAAAACATATATAATCTTGACTTTTCTCTCCCACCTGCAAGATGCTGCTAAGAATATGTCAATATAATGATCTGTCTTCCTGCAAAAAACAAAAAACAGCCTTATCTAGTCAACACAAACTCTCACATATTGTAGACTGCATCCTTAAAACTTAAGATCTGCAAAGACTGATCCAGAAAAGCTGGACTTTCTAGAAATATGCTGAGGTAACATTTTAAAAGCTGGTTTTTAGTTTTAAAATAAGTTGAAAATCACAAATAGTAAAAATCACCCTGGAAAATCCCTAAATTGCCCATAAATATTGAGTACAAGATTCTTGGTAGATAGCTCTGTTCACTAATATGCATGTATTGTAGGATAATATACTCAACATGCAATTCCATAGAAGGACAATAATCAGCAAGTAAATAATTTGAGGGTTTTGCAACACTTCACAATTTTGTGGAAATTTTAAATTCTAGTATTATCATTATTTTCTACAATAGATTGTAGCAATTTTCCCAATTTTGGTTAATGTTTCCCTAAAGACTTCCAGGAATTATTTTGTTAAACAACTTTTGATCTTGAAATAAGTTCCAACATAAAGTTTCATAAAAGTACAAAGAATAATTGTATATCCTTTACACATATTCACTGATTTTGAATATTGTCCCACATTTGCTTTTTTATGCTCTCATTGTGCGCGCGCGCGCACACACACACACACAGGTTTTTGCTGAACGATTTGAGAATAGATTGCATACATCATTATTTTTTATCCCTTAATACTTTACTGTATATTTCTCAAGGGTATTTTCTTACAAAACCACAACCTAGTTATCAAATTCAGGAAATTTAATATTGTTATGCTAATTTTACCTAATGTAGAGTCCATATTCCGGTTTCATCAATTATCCCAATAATAGCATTCACAGCAATTTTTCTTCCAGTACAGAATCTGGGCCAGGTTCATGTATTGCAGTTAAGTTATTACATTTCCTAAATCTCACGTAATTCTTTTTTTTTTTTTTTTTTTTTGAGACAGAGTCTTGCTCTGTCACCCAGGCTGGAGTGCAGTGGGGCGATCTCCGCTCACTGCAGGCTCCACCTCCCAGGTTCACGCCATTCTCCTGCAGCCTCCCGAGTAGCTGGGATACAGGCGTGTGCCACCACGCCCGGCTACTTTTTTGTATTTTTAGTAGAGACAGGGTTTCACCATGTTAGCCAGGATGATCTCGATCTCCTGACCTCATGATCTGCCAGCCTTGGCCTCCCAAAGTGCTGGGATTACAGGCATGAGCCACTGTGACCGGCCACTTAATTCAATCTTAAGGCTAATTTTCTTAGCCTTTTTTTTCTCTCTTTCCTAACCTTGATATTTTGCACGATTACAAGCTAGTTGTTTTATAGACTGTCCTCAGTTTGGTTCACCTGACGTTTCCTTATCATATGACTCGGTTTAGTACTTACTGACTGGGCTGCTAAATACGTAATGTTACGTCCTTCTTAGGCTGTCACATTTGTAGGTGCATCATTTGTGTTTACATTTTATTTATGATGTTAACATTCATAACTTGGTTAAGGTGTTGTGTGGTTTCTCTGTTGTACTGTAAAGTGTAATTTCTGTAAATTTTAATTTGTAGGGATGTATTTCGAGATTATGTTAATAACCAGTTTTTCATCAACTCTGGTCCCATTAATTCCTTAATTCATTCACCGGGGGAGTCACAACCCTCTTCATCATGTATACAATTTTTTCATGTTTGATAATCCCTTGGGAGTGGGTTTGGGAAATCACTGAGACCTTTAGATTTATTCTACATTTTGGCCAAGTTGATTGAATTCATGTAAATTAAACGTGGGTCTGCTAAAAGCTCTATTATGATAATAATAAAATAAGAGTCCTACGGATACAAGCTATAATCATTCACATTTGATATGGATGCAATGACTGACTAATAAATCAGATATTCAGTGTACAGTTTACAGAAAAACGATCGTGATAAATACAATTTCAACAAAAAATATTTTAACTATGCTGAATGGAAAATTCAATAATAAATTTAAATGGCCTAATTATATTTGTTCTGTAAAATGCATGCTTGACAAAGAAAATTTTCAGTGGTGTTATAATTCTGAATAAAATGTTTGCATTCATAAATACAGAACTCGGATATGCATGACATGAAGAGTACCGTCACAATAGCAGACGGAGGTAGTATAACTGGGCATTTTCGCATATGGATGCTGGAGCCTGAACTCCAGGGTTGTAACTTCACTTACACCACTTACTGGATTTGACCATGGACAAGTTACTTAATCCTTGCCTTGATGCTCTATCTGCAAAATGGGACAATAATAATATGTAACCATATATAACTTTTATGAGGATTTAAAGATTTAACACATGTGAAATGTTTGGAATAGTCCTGGCACGTTAATCTCATCATCATTATCACCACTTTCATAATAGTCACCTTCATTCTGTATTTTTCTGGGGTGGGGAAAGGAAATATTTCAAAGCTGGGAACCTCCTGTAGCCTGAAATTAATTGAGAAAATAATCCGGGATATTGCTGATCATTCTTTGACAGTAATGATAATGTTGTGGCAACTTGTAAACTGAGTAAAATAGCACTATGGACTTTCCCTAGCATAGGTCACGAAAGGACATGTCTTTAAAGTGTTTAGATCACACCTCTCAGTTGAGGTTTCATCACTGGAAACAATTTTTAACACCATTGACAGAATTATAACTGTCATGCTCCCAGTTTTAATGCCTGTGGCATGCTATGAGTTTGAACTAAATTATCTCATTTAATCTCAGCACCAAATTTATAAGGAAGATATTATTATCAGCCTTATCTTACTAAGCAAGAACAGGTTTTGAAAAGCTGGAAAAGTGCTGAAGTTCGTGGATCTAAGCAGAAGAACCAGACTTGGAACTATAATATCTGGCTATATACTGATCCATTACACCATACTGCTTTCTGGAAATATACACCCTTTTCTGTGGGACTGTTGTCACTTCACTTTGCATCGACTTTGCTGCTAATAGATATGCAGGCCTTCAGATTTGGTATTGCAATGAATAGTATTCCACTGTCAATTGTATTAATCAAAGTCCTGGGAGGAAAGGAGGTGTTGTACATATGAGAATAATTTAAGAAAACATAATTAAGGGACTCTGTACTAAGGTAAGGGAGGAGTTAAGGAATTCGAAAAGAACTGGCAAAGCCTTCTGAAACTAACAATGACAAGAAGTCGTTACCACCATAAGGCCAACACAGGCAAGGGCAGGAGGCAGCTGCTGGCATTTGGAGACAGCTGCAGCCATGTGACAGAGGCCATCTGATATACCCACTCCAGAGGAACACAACTGCTAAACTGCCACCCTGTTGGAAGAGAGTAGGGCCTAATAATCACCTCGATCTGTCTTTCCTTCAGTTTTCTGACTTCATTTCAGTGCCTCCCACTGGCCAAACCCAACTAGAAGCCAGAAGGCAAGGGAGCTTAGGTGACACCGTTGGTAGAAGCCATTCTCCCTGGGCACAGATAAAGGCTGAGATGGGCAGAAATTACCAAGTTGGTTTTGCAGCAGGGTTGGGGGAGAAGGCAGGAGAATGGAGACTTACTGTAGCACTAAGCATACCTGATACATTATTCTAAATTACCATCACTTAGTAAAATATCGGTGGAGAAAATTGAAGAATTCAAAAATTAAAGATACAAATGCATTTAATAACAACATACTTTTCAAAGTGTGAGAGGAGAAAGTGGCTTTCTTTAATTAAGAAAGAACATCCTCCAGATAATGTCATTGCATAGGTATGTGGAATGTAAAATGTTCGAATGTGATCAGCAGTCTTCTTCAAGTTGCTTATATGTTAAACTGATCCTTGAATGGGTTGCTATAATTACATTTTAAAGAGTCTGGCAAATCTTGCTAGTTTTTTGCTTTGCATTTAAATTGGCTCAGCATCTTGGTGCCAGTGGAATTTACCAGGCTGGTGACAGCTCAGCTCAGGTTTCTCAATGTTTCACAGCCCCATGGGCCCCTTACAATGTTTCTTTGGACACCCTCTGTACTATGTGATTACTGTAGGTCCTCTGTTGGGGAATCACATTGTCACACACTCTCCTCGTGCATCCTGTTGTCTTGTCTTCTCCGTAAGCAGCCCTGTGCTGTGAGCCAGCTCGGAAGGATTTAGTCTATGTGAAGGAAATTGAAAATGAACATTAACAGATTTTGTTCTTACTCATTTAGAAAATAATTCATATGCCTTCATTTTGGTGATGTTCATGATCCTTCATTGACTCTCAAATTTCCGGACTCCTGAAGCCCATTTCTGAGTTGAGGTTTTTTCTGCTCTTGCCAATCACTAGGTGGTGAAACAACTATAGCCTTGGTCATGCCCTTAACAGCGCATGAGGCTGAGCTTAAACCGGAGAAGGCCTCCCTGGTAAAAGGGAGCTGAAGCTGAAATCCATTAATTATTTGCAAAGCTCTGTTTTTGTTTTTGTTTTCTGTCATCTCAAGCAGAGTGGTATCATTTAGGTGCTACATAAAATTGTTCCAGCAATTCATTCAACTTACGTCATGTGTCCAACTGGGGAGGAATTCCTGGAGCTGTTCTAGAACAATGAGAATTTGTGAGTTGAAAATTGAAATGAAATTTTAAAAATGCTACTAAGCTGAGTTAAGAGAGGAAAAAGGGAGGCTTGGAGTTTTCTTTCTATTATGATATATTTTTTCAAAATTCCCCCATTTTCAATTCCTCTTATTTTAATGTTTCCAGTGATTGAAGCACTTTGTTTAAGGCAAAGAAATATAAATCAATAGAGGAATTACTTAACTAGAAAATGCAAATCAATACCAACTTCCTTATGCAGGAACTTTTTGGTCTGAAATATTTAGCAATATGCTATTTGTTTTATAAAAATGTGGCTGTAATAAGTGATAGCTTGTAGTGATGCTATTTACATATGAAAGCACTGTAAAATAATATTCAGTTTATCTCAGGGCGTGACCAACTAACACTTTTTTGTGCATTCTGTATCTATTATAAAGAGACAATAAGAAAATAAATAGAATCGGAATAGCAAAAGGACAGTTTTGAATTATCGTTAATATATAATGCACACCTAATCCATATGTCCTATATTTTTCATTAATAAATATCTAATGAAAATTGATATATAGGCGTAGTGATCACTTAGAAGAACTTTTAAGTATTTTTGAATGAAAAAACTAAATTATTTTGTGTTTGATCTTGTCTTTGTTTTGGTATTTTGATAATTTTCTATGATTAAGAAAACACAAGAATGCTGAGCCAGGAAAATTAAATTGTTTAATATCTGCTGTCACTTTCAGAGAAAGAGCTTTGTACTGTACTAAGATTATGATCCTGAACCTACTGCTTATTAGCTGTTCAATTTTGAGTAAATCACTTATGTGGTAGTTGTTTTGTCTTTCCAGATTCTTCTTAGCTGGGTCCTTTACTGCATTGACCAGGTGCCAAAGGTGGCTCCGTATTTTTATTAGACTCTACTCCTTTAGCAATAGTTGACTTGGACCTAAGCGAGACCAATTAAGGTCCTTTGCTAGGATTTGGCTTGGCCCAGTGAGAGCTTTCCTGTGTTGGCTGAAGCTTTATGGTGCATAACTTATGAATGGTCAGAGGCCATGGTTCTCAGAGTCTGAAGAATGCTGGTCTGCAGTGAAAGGGAATGAAGCCAACATGCAGAGAGAAACAGTTGCAGGCACAGTCCTGGGGGGGGGTCCATGTTTCTGGTTCCAGTTGTTCCTGGTGTCCCCTCTCTGCCTCCCTGCATTTCCTGTGACTGGGTCATTCAACCTTTACTTGGCTTTTACTTATTCAAATTGGGTTTTGTCTCACTCAGTTTGGGTTAGAATATTAAACCCTCACTTTCACAAGCTGCACCCAAAGTCTTGTATGTGATTTTTGTTTGTTCGTTTGCAGTTTGTGTAATACCATTGAATCATTTATTTAAAAGCTCTTAAAATTTTAACCCAATTATTTCAAGTTTATGTGGTCTTTGTCCTTTATTAATTAATAATTGCTATTACCGTATATACAGAGAACACTAGTTTTTTGGGGCTTTTTAAAATTATTTTTAATCAATTTTACTTAAAACATTTTAAGGAACAGAATTTTATGTTATTGTTTTAAAGAAGGTTCTCAAAATTATGTAAACCTAATGCTCCTATGAAACCTGGAACCACTTTTGACCCTAATTAATACAACTTAACTTCTCCAATTTTCAATTCACTTGTTTGTAAAAGATAGGAAATTAATCTTGAATGTCACTAAAATTCTGTGACTCTACTAATGTATAAAGTATAACTTCCCTCCACGCCTCATTCATTTTTACAACCCATTGGGAAATGACTCTTTCTGTTCAAAGTTACACAGAGGCCATAACAAGGTGTCATTAATTAGTAACAGAAAGAATTTTGAGGAGGAAGTGCCCAGAAGAACTGGAAACTTGAGGGGATTTTAGGTAAATTCTACCTGCCATTATCCCCTCTGGAACAGACAAAGGGTCTCAATATTGAGGGACAATTGCTGAAATGAAAATTCTAGGTATTATACGTTGGGGACTTTTTTTTTTTTTCTCATTACAGTATCATACTTCCTTTCTGGTGCTTAGATGATTCTCTGAAGTTTTGTAGTCTAGTGTTTGATTCTTTTGCATCTTTAAATTTTTTTATTTATGTAACATATTAAAAATGTAACACTTTTCAGACATGTTAAATATACTGAAAATAGTTTACTATCAGAAAGTGCTGATTACCAAGAGATGAAAATGTTCTCTATTGTTCTGTTACTGCTGTTCAGCTGTCAGACACTAACTCCTTATCATACAGTCCTGCTTGCCTCTTGTCTTCTCAGTTTTCTAGATGTACAATGCATCTCAACTTTTTCTGGTTCTAAAGGTTATTACAGTTTTTCCATTGATAGTATTATGGCTTCATTCACTTTTAAGGAAGAACTTAAGAGTCACAAGGTGGTAGCTAGCCAAAGACTTGCTTTAACTTTAAAGAATTAACAATATAGTTGATATGTGGAATTTTTAAAATGTAGCTTCAATTGGATTTTCTGCATATTCTCATTATCCTTGTCCAGTATCAAAATGACGAGACCAGCACTGTCTTCAGAAGTTTACTCAGCCCAATTTTACATATATGTGAAATTAGCCAAGATTAAGATTAACTGATAGAACTGGTCACCTAGAATTCAGAGTTATTAAAGGAAAACATCTGCCTAACCCTAGACATTTAGAGGAACTGGAGTGGGACAAATGGAGAATGGTTGGGATTAAGAAACCAACAAGATCCACAAGGATAGCGTAGGTAATAATGGAGTATCATTAGCATATATGGTGGTATCAGTAGCATATATGGTGGAGGGAAGATGAGTTATAACCCAAAGATCTGGCAGTGAGGGTCAGATAGAGAACACAATAGATAGGAGAGCAAAGTATCCATTTGCTGTAGTATACAATAGATGGCAGGCAAGAAAGAAGGGCCTTGACTTCCCGAAAGGGAGCAGGTAGAGAGGGATGGGTTCCTGGTGGTCTGGGCTAGCTCAGAGTCCCAGAACTAGAAGACTAGGGTTGAAAAAACAAAAGCCCCTCTAGGGTCAACTTTGACCCTCCTTCCAATTCATTCTTCACACACAGACGTCAGACTTGCACATGTAATTACACTCCTCCTCTGTTTAAACATCCTAATGACCTCCATTGTCCTCAGGATAAAAGTCCAAATTCTTCAGCATGACCCAAACAGTCATTCATGGTCTAGTTTATGCCTTCTCCATCAGCCTCATTGCCCAGTTTCCCCTCTCATTCTCTATATTCCAATACCTTGAGTAATTATAATTCCAAAAGAGTAACGCTACTTTATGCCACTATCTTTTTGCACATGCTATTACCTCCGACTATAAAACTTTCACCTTGAAAAATCTTCCTTGTCCTTCAAGTCTTAACTCAACCAGTACTTCCTTTATGAAGCCTACCTTGCTCATTCTCCCAGTAGAGTTGGTCCCTAGTGTCCTTGCACATTCTCAAATTATGTAGTATTGTATCTTGTTAACCTTTTTATTTTACATGGTTATCTGTTATACTAGAAATATCATCTTATTGTAGATAGATTCCATGCATTATTCATTAACCCTAATATTTAAGGTTATGTCTGGCCCATACTGAACCCTCAGTGCTTATAGAATAAATAATGAGACAGGTTTTCAATTAATAAATCTTGAGTATAAAGTGAAGGTTTGAGATAAAGTGAAGTAAGACCTGGTTATAGAAAACAGAAGAGAAAGTCACAGTGTATCTAACATCAACAATGACCTATACTGAGCCTTTGAGTATAGGCCTCCATAACTTTCTTCAAGCTAGAAAGAGAATGTTTTCTAACACAGTGGCAGAGTCAAGCCTATTTATTTATCTGGAATGAAGTAACAGCAAAGCTATAGGTTAGAAGGATGTAAAAACAGAAAGCTGTAAGCCTGATTAGCCAAACTTCAGAAATACAAATTTCCCTTACCTTGAAGAAGCACCAGGTAGCAGGAAGAGCCTGGGCTTTGGGGTTGTAAAAAACTCGATTCACAGCCATTTATTAAGTATAAGACGTTAACTTTCATTCTCTGAGTGTCAGTTTTCTTAATTTTGAGATAGTGATATTAATTCTAACCACAGAGGGTTTGTGAGAATTAGCTGAAGCTATATAGTGCAAATATGATGGAATAGGCTCTAGGAATGACTGTTTTCTTTTTACATGCCAAACCCCAAGTACTTGGTGGCTCTTTTCTGATTTCTCAGAATTGTTTTGAGAAGAAAAAAGCAGGCTACAGATAAAAATTTGCATCAAAATGATACAGCAAACAACATTTTAAAGGTTGAACATAAGTACTAAGAATGATATTGTCACCTAGATAATGTCAATCAGGGAATACATTTGAAATGTTAGCCATAACTATACAATGGTCACTCAACTATTCTGTATTATTTAAAATTCAGTAACTAATAACTTCAAAAATAGGATAAAGCTATGTGGAGACAATGAACCTCAAGAAAATAGTTTGTTAGTAAATTGTTTCATCCTCAGTATATACCTGGAGTTCTTAAATATGGCAGATTTAAACTTTGTTGAACATTTCAGAGAATATTGTAGCAACAGTAGCTTAGTCAAAGGCATTGTCTTTCTCCTCTGAAATGAAAGATGCTTTCTTTAATTGTCATCCCAATTTTTCCTCCTCTCTAATAACCTCACTCTGTATTTCAGTCAGGGTTTGATCAGAGAAACACAACCTCTATGAAATATACATTAATATATTATGGATGTGCCTGACCTTACACAATTGTGGAGCATAATTAAACCATTTTCTGCTGGGCTTGGTGGTGGAGACAGAAATCCACAGGCAGGAGGCTGAGAAGCAGGATGCGTGTGAAGTGACGAAAGCCAAAACAAATGGGAACCTGCGAAGTTGGAGCCTGTGAGGACAGGTTAAATCGGGGATAGTCTCTCACTGTCTTTACGTGTTGATGATGAGGGTATTCTGCAAAAGAACCTAGTGCTCTTCATCGTAGAGCTCAATCTGCACCTAGCACAGGAGCCAGCAGTGAATGAGGACTGTCAGGAGCTATAGGAACTGTTGGGGGGATGCCACTGCAACGTAGTGAGCCCCCAATAACCAACAATATATGTACACTGCAGGGGGCCTCATTGCTTGCTTTGACCTTCAGAGTGTAAAAAGAACATGACTGATACTTCCTATTAACAAGAACTACACAGGGAAGAAATTTTATGAAACATAGTTCCAATTGAGTTAAGTTGATATACCATCAATTCACCGTATTCTAAATGATTGTATAAAATTCCTACTCTGTACTTTTAATTTCTTAACCTAACTTATTCTTACCTACGTCCTTAAGATAAAATCTCCCAGATACCCTAACTCTCTTACCAAAATTGAGCTCTATTTGCTATTCGATAGATAGATGAATGCAATTCAATGCGTCAATTATCCAGGGCAACGTTTATCTGTTTCATAATGGATTTCCAGAACCAGTAATCACACTCAACTCACACTGTCCAGGAGTAACCTGTTTAAAATGAATTTTGGTGTAATGGCTTTCCCATGTTACTTTGAAATGCAGTCTTGCTATTTTCTCATTTTTCTTGCAGCTAAGTCTTTCATTTTGTAAATGTAGACAGATCTGTATGACACTGAAAACCTGAAATGGACTAGTGAGGTATTCTGGATAGTGGAAAATGAATTTCTTGTTTAAAATGAAGGAAACTTTCCCTGGTTCAGCTTTGAAGAAGAGTATAGAAAGTCATGTCATTAGCAATAATTTACTAATTTGTATATTTTATGCAGATTTAATAAGTCTTTGCATTAAACATTGGATTTCACATGGAGATTAAAAGTGCTTTGTCAGATTTGCAAGTAAATGTGGAAAGCTTAAACTTGACCAACACAACAAGAATAAAGGAAGAGGTAATACTGCTATTCCCCCTTCTTCTGTTCTGGAGCCAAATACATAGGAACTGGTGCACTAAAGCAGCCATGGTCATGATAAGCTGATGAGATGGCGGACTGAGGAGAAAGTAGACCCTAAGCCTGAAGAAAACATGATGTGACCTATCTAGGCCAGGTGAGTACTTACAAACCTCCCAACAGTACTGCTTTTCCTACAGAAGTTTAGAACTTTCTTCAAAACAGTGTGTCAAAACTGATGGGAAGCTGTTGGCAGGAAGATAGGACAAATTTCTGTAATCTTGGCAGAAGCTCCTTTAGCGGGGAGAAGAAAAGCCTAGAAGGTGCTGCATTTGAGAGATTCTGGCTCTTGACAATGGAACGTATTCAGGATGGCTATAATCAAAAAGTCAGAAAACAGCAGATACTGGTGAAGCTGCAGAAAAAAGGGAACACTCAAAACACTGTTGATGGGAATGTATATTAGTTCAGCCACTGCAGAAAACAGTTTAGCAATTTCTCAAGGAACTTAAAACAGAACTACCATTAGGCCCAACAATCCCATTATTGGGTATATATCCTAAATAAAATAAATTGTTCTACCAAAAAGACACATGCACTTGTACATTCATCACATAAATATTCACAGTAGCAAGGCATTAATTCAACCTAGGTACCCATCAACAGTGAATTGGGTAAAGAAAATGTGGTACATATACACCATGGAATACTATGCAGCCATATAAAAGCAAAATCATGTCCCTTGCAGCAAGGTGGATGTAACTGGAGGCCGTTATCCTAAGTGAATTAACACAGAAACAGAAAGCCAAACACCACATGTTCTCACTTTTAAATGGGAGCTAAACTATTGAGTGCTATGCTCACTACCTGGGTGACAGGATCAATTGTACCCCAAATCTTAGCACATACCCATGTGCCAAACCTGAACATGCACTCACTTAATCTAAAACAACAGTTTTAATTAAAAGAAAAAAGGGGAGAGGTAAAGTATCCGTGACTAGCAGTGTTCCCCAAAAACCTCAGACTCATCTCACAATACTCGCAAACCACTTCACCATAACCAAAGTTAAGCCTGGGAACATGACCTAGACCCATCTTGTACAGGTAATTTTCAGGCTAAACCTTTGTACCTTTACTTCCCCGTTGGTAGTCGTTTTATCCAGATCTCAACCTTGCAAAGACTATTTAAGTGGCATGACAGGAAACAGGAGAGAGAGATGATATGGTATGAGATGTTAGCAATTTCATTATAATAATGTTAATATATTTAACTTATTTCCACATCATATTTTAGATACTATAAAATGAAAACAAGAATTTAACCTGAAGTTGCTCACCCTGCAAATATTTATTGAGCGCCTATGAAGCACCAAACACCAAGGAGAGACAGGGGAGAAAAATTCCTTGGTCTCATAGAGCTTCCATTCCAGCAACTGTCATCTGTCAATCTTCTCTCCCATTCTTCAAGACAATGAGTTTTAGCTTACAACTCTCTTTAAATCACCCATCTTTATCTCACACCTTTCACTCTTAGTAGACGACTTTGTACCCCATTTCGCAAAGAAACCAGACAGGAGCTTAATTTTCTCCCCAGTTCCATTGAGAATAGAACCCAGCCTCACTTCATTTCTTCCTGACTCAGAGGATCAGGCAGTAATTTTGAAATTTCCCCAGAGTTTGGAAGGCCATGGAGCTATGAACATACTAAGTTGGCTTTGGGAATTTGGCTGCAAAATTGAGAGTACCGATTATTTTGCTTAATCCAATATTTCTTTTCTTCATTTGCTGACATACTCCAAAGATTTTGCATGCCTTCAAAGCAGCCACTGAATTTTATTAACTCATTTTGTTAACTTGAAAGAGGATGGAATCCACTCTTAATCAGGATAAAGAATTGCTTTTTAAAACAAACCTTTTATTAGTTGCTAGTTAGCAGATAATATAGCAGAAGGTTGGTGAGATTATGAAAATGGTTTAATTAAAAAGAAAGTGTCCAAAAGAAACCTTCTCTTTTAGTTCCTAAGTCAGAGATATTGAGAACTGAGCAAAAATAGATCTTCATAAATATAGTTGATCCTTGAACAATGCAGGTTTGAATTGCAGAGTTCACTTATGTGCACATTTTTTTTCCATAAAAATTAACTCCAAGTGTGCCTGCTTCTGTTGCCTCCTCTCCACCTCTTCCTCCTCTGCCACCTCTGAGACAGAAAAAATGATCCTTCCTCTTGCTCCTCTTTCTCAGCCTACTCAACTTATAAAGATGATGAGGATGAAAACCTTTATTATAATCTACCTACACTTAATGCATAGTAAATATATTTTCTTTTCCTTAAGATTTTCTTAATAACATTTTCTTTTCTGCAGCATATATATTGTAACAATACAGTATATAATACATATAACATACAAAATATATGTTAATCAACTTTATGTTACTGATAAGGCTTTCAGTCAACAGTGGGCTATTAATAGTCAGGTTTGGAGGGCATCAAAAGTTATACACAGATTTTTGTGCATGGGGTTTTGATGCCTCTAAGTCCCACAGTGTTTAAAGGTCAACTGTACTGGTTAAATTGTTACAGAGTTATAGAGTCAAAAGATGGTGGACTTTGGAGCACAGAGCCCTTGGTTTAAATACCAGCTGTACAATTTAGTAGCCATGTGACTTTATAAAATCATTTGATATCTGTAAAACCAAGTTTTAACAGTTGTAAAATAAAGATAAAAATATACCCCCTTAAGACTGTTGTAAAGATTGTTGCAATGGACTGATTGTGCTCCCTTTATATTAATATGTTGAAACCCTAATCCCAATGTTATGATATTTGGAGATGGGGCTTTTGGAAGGTAATTAGGTTGTGAGGGTAGAGGTCTCATGAGTTGGATTAGTGCTCTTATATGAAGAGACACAAGTGATAGGATCCCTCTCTCAGCCATGTGAAGATACAGCAAGAAAGAAGTCTCTTAGCAAGCATGGGATCTGCCAGCATCTTGATCTTGGACTTCCTGGCCTCCAGAATCATGAGAAATAAACGTTTGTTGTTTAAGCAACCCAGTCTATCATATTTTGTTATAGCAGCCCAAACAGACTAAGACAGGAAGAGGAAAAAATGACTCCACATTCCCAGCAGTTTATTTGGGTTAAATGGCAACTGATTTGAGATTAAACACCAGTTTTCTTTAGCATTCCTGTTCCCCTATTACACCTTCACCCCTAATCTTCATATAAGGAGTTTTGTTCATAATTCTGCAATCAAAATATAATTAGTGGCTGGAAGTTCACAGAGGAGCACTGACAAATACAAATGTTCCCAAATACTTAATCCTCTTAGAGACAGTATTTGAGTTACTTTGTTTTTGTATTCAGGGATGGATCTTGCCTATTCGACACAAGTTAGAGTAATAGAAACCTAATGAGTCTTTCTCATCAGAAGGCTCTCTCCACCCCCCAAACAAAAGGTATCTGTGAAGAGTCAAATATTTTTATGCTTTCTTAGCCAAACTTTAGGATAATCAGTAAGTAACAGAAATTCTAATTAGAATACTGAAAATATTGTTCCATTTTTTAATCATGGAAATCCTACAACTTTTCTAGTAAGACATAGGCACCAGCAGAAACACTGATGGAGAAACGTGTGCCTTCAGATTAATTTAGATATATTCACATGCTTTTGATTAATGTAGGAGTTCTTGTCCTTCTAGATGAACTCGTTAATTCCTTTGGTGGAATTGGATCTATCTTGCTTAGTGAAGAGAAATAGGATCATTCGCAAAGGATACAATAGAGACCTGAGCTCCACATTTGTTTTAATCTCTGGTGATATACTGTGCTGCAACTGAGAAAATGCCCCATCTTTATTTCCTGGAGTTGGCTTGACATTTACAAACCTAATGCTGATTTAATATGGGAGTAGAAAGAAAGTGAGGAATGGAAAATATACTCAGGGGAAGTTGAAAAAGAAAAAAAGAGAAAATTGAGTCCTGGTATATGACCATTAGCTACTGTTAATGAATCTGTTCAACTGATGAGATACTATTTTTTAATTATCTCCATTATAGTAGGCATAGAAGATAGGGGAAGGGATTCTTCACCCCTCTTTAATTCAGACCTTACTACTTCAACCAACAATTCATATCCTTTTGGTTTTGGAGAAAGCTTGGAATTAAATTATAATGGCAACGATAATCTTTAGATCCATCTTTCTTTTCCTACCATTTATTTATTTAGTACAAAATGAAGATAACGAATGAGGTAAATGTACACACATATTAATTCAAATTTGTAAAAATTTTTGAGAGTTTACTATCTATCAGGTACTGAATTAGTTACTGGATATGAAGAGAAAAATAAATCATCATTTCTGTTCTTATGAATTTCAAAGTTTAATAGGAGAAACTGAATATTTGTTCACACAAATCAATGCATTTAGAGCTGTGTCTTCGGTCAGATTTCCTAAAAGCACAGTGGGAGTTGGGGGTTCTTAGCAAGTGCTTTACTGATGAAGTGTTTTCAGGATAAACTTCCAAGGAAGCAGATTAGGATAGAGGAAGACGCTAAGCAGAGATGTAGGTTTCACTAAGTCTAACTTCAGCCTAATCTCCAGAGAACCTGGACCAACACCAGAGAACCTCTGTGAACACCACCACAGGCTTATCTCACTCTGAGTCAAGAGGCTGGGCCTTTATGCCCTTGAATCATTTAGTCATTTGGTGAGGGATCCCCTGTTAGGCATTCCTGAGCTCCTGTTGGCCAAAGACAACTCTCTGGAGAAAGATAATTATGGGCCATTAGCAGCCAACCTCACAACAACTTCGAGATAAGTGCACTGGCTCCATAAAGGGGGCAAGGCTAAGGCAGCATCTACTACTGGATACAAAAATGAATATAACAAGACTTTATATTCAGGTAACCCAGAGGTTCATTATACAGACTGGTATTAAACAAACAACTATAATGTACTGTGCCAAGTATAATGATAAGAGGATGAATAGGTCATATAGAGGAGAGAGTAATTCCCCAATTATACATTTTTTAGCACTTTATCTCATTGCACAAAATACTGGAGTTCTTGAAAATAACTTTTGTGGTAAGGAGTGTGCTAATGGAAGTCTTTTTTGGAGAAGATGCTAACTGGAGTTGATTTACAAGTAATAGGC